AAGCAGTGACAAAACTACTTCACAAGAGTGCTGTTTTATCAATTCATGTTTGAAAGATACTCATAAGACACTATAAAATATCATAAAAACACCCATGAGTACAAACTAAGTGAGGTAAGAATTCATTTCAAAACCTTCCCATGCATACATGTTGTTTTTTTTTCAGATTACGTTATGGAGTTTTTCACAATCTTTCTTGCCTTCAGAAAATTTGAGAATACATATAAAATCCATCATTTACTGTACCAAGTCTTTAGTAATAAATACAGTATATTGCTTTTAACTGCAATTGTGGCTAGTTCCCAGCTGACTTTATTTTACTAGCACATCAGCAAAGTATACAGAGTTCTCTGACTCAAGTTCTTAACAAATATTATTAACTAATCCAGCAGAAGAAACCATTTAAGTGTAAAAGTTACTTCAATCCTCTTCTAAGAGAAATTAAGATGTAATGATGAATGAACTTCAGAAACTTGGGATTTTTTTATACAAATTTATTTCAACACAATATAAAGTACTTTGATGTTTATCTAAAAGTATCATTCTCTAGCCAAGCCTCCATCAGAAAGTGACTGAACAGACCTGTGATCTGATCCAGTATTTGTTCTTAGGTTAGCTCTCAATCCCAGATATTCCTCAACATTTCATCAAAGCACATATCACATATCTCCAGGACTTATAAAAAGCCACATCCTTACACAGCAAATCTCCCAAACCTTACACATCAAGAAAGAACATCCATCACATCTTCACTTCTCAGCAGCAGGGCCTGAATTCAAACTTTGCACAGACATGACACACCCTATCGTTTATGGTCTAGAAGGCCCTAAACTATTACAAAAATCATGCAATAGGACAATGAGAAATTTTTTATATAGAAAACATTCTATCAATCAACCTGCCTGACTACTACTTACTCTGCCACTGTCTCCAGTGTAACAAAAGACCTTCAGGCACAAGTGAGACAGCTTTTACTCGCATGCTCTGGAACATCATCAGTGTCATGCTGTCAATTTTGGGTCATACACCTGTTCAGAACTGCTTATGAATAAAAAGAAGTTATTCTAAAGAAGGCTGCTTGTGACCTAAACTGACTGGTAAAGTTACTTCAACTCCATCAGATCACAAAGTACAAAATAATTTGAATATGTCCTGGCTTAAGCACAATTTTTCCAATATCAACCAGTTATAACTGCAAAATTCCCTATGATGTTATTCCAAACAAGTGGTAGAATATATACTCATACACCCACTCTCTCTGAAAAGAATTACTGTTTGCATTTCCAGCTACTACCATGTATATGCACCAGTGACAAGACAGAAATAATGAAGTTGTATCTAGACAGCTACCAACACTTGATGGATTATCTGTCTGGTCATATGTTCCATGTTTTAAGTGCAATTTAAAAATTTAAAAATCAGTATTACAGTACTTTGTAATGTCAGAGGCACAACCTTAATTTAACTTTATAATTCTAGATACAATAGCTTTCCCTTGAATATGAAGTGATGTATCACACATTTCAAACTGGGTATTCCATAATCATAGACCTTTTTGTTACTGTTAAAACTGCAATTTAGTTTCTGAGGCAGTAAAATGCAGTAATACAAGGAATACATTAGAAAAGGTTTTAAAAATTAGGCTAAGAAAAATCATTGCAGCTGGGATTAAAGTACGGAAAATAATAGAAAAGGATTCAGAAAACATTTATTAGAGAAGCTTAAATAACATACACATTTTAAGGCAAAATACATGCTTTTTAAATTGCATTGATATTGTGATACTTAACTAGCCATCCCCAGTTTGGATGGGCTAATTTTAAAAATACTCCTAGAAAAATCCAGTCAAGTCTTTCTTCAACATGTGCCTTGTTTTGTTCTCATTTCACGGCATCTCAGAGTAACAGCAATAAAAATCTGTACAAAGCTGGCAGGAAAATCTTACTGTGAAACATCTGGTATTAAATTATCAATAACACCATTATATTTGTCAACAGGAGGAGAGAACTATTGTTCTTCCCTCCTCTTCCCCACACTACAGGGGTAAACAGACTCTCCTTTTCGTCAATCAAGTTTCTGTGTTCACCTAACTCCCAGAAACTCAGCGGATGACAAGTTATGGCAGCCAAAATGCAATCTCATCTAACCAAAATATTTACTTTTTCATCATGCTTAGTTGTCTTGGATGCAAACCCTAAAGCACAGTTCACAGAAAAATAGGATGCTTTGCTTGTAATTCCCCACCATTTTTGGTAAAGACAATAAAAAAGTAAATTACATTTGTTTCAGCCATATCAAGACTCACAAACTGCATCCTCATTTGCACATATCATATTTTAGTCAACATAACAGATTCTAAAATTATTTATACTAAACTAAAAAAAACACAAAGCTCCGAGAGGTGAGGTCAAGCTTTTAAAAGTGGTATTACTTTGCTCTTCATTTTGAAATGTAACAAAAACCCCTCATTGTTTTGCTTAACTTTTTAATTTATTTATATTTAACAGCCAGGTGAAATTGTTTGTGTATACTTGTGTCACTAATGGTATACCTATGTACATGTTTCATGCGGAAACATACCTGCGTTGGGTATTTTTTACATACATAGTAAGCATTTTACTCCTGTAAATTCTTCGTAGGAACACATGCTATGCCACAAAGATATTACTGTCCATAATCCACTAGCAAAAAGCAAGATGTGCACCCATTAAAAATAGTCCATATTTGTGTACCCTTCCACAAACAAGAAATGTGTAATACCTTGGTTCTGGTTAATTCCCAACCTACTATACAGGGCATGGGTACAGGCATACCATTTTACAATTCAAAACTTCAAAATGCTCATATACAAAGAGCTGGTAAACAATCTAGGCTAGACAACAGAACCTAATATGAAGCTGGCATTTCTAAGCTTGATTGTAGCAAACAAAAGTTTTTGTCAGTAAAACTACAGCCAACAGCATTATTGTGTATCTTCACTTATGTATTCCAGAAGACAGACATAGGATTAAGTTTGTGCACAGTTTGTTTTCCCTGTTGGTACCCTGAGTTGGTCAAGAAGGAGAAGTAGAGACAGGCAGCATGAGAACTTTTAGATCTTTAATACTTCCTCTGCCTCTGCTTGTGATGTACAATATCTATTTCCTGGATAAACAGAGAAGTTAAATCCCCAGAGTCTGAATCCAGTACCTTTCATAAGCCCTAACTTCATTTTTAAAAACGATAAAAGAAAATGTAATTTGCTTTCCAGCTTTACCAGTAATCCATACGTGTTCATATTGCAGACTGCAAAAACATCTGTGAGATCAATAATAAACATCCTACTCGTCGTTCATTCTTCTGCTTTATTTAAAGAGAACATTCCCCAGCATACACCCTGCCCTATACTTTCTCCAGTGTGAATGATGGAATACAAATAATAGAGATGGAAAAACGCATTGCAAATGGCAAAATGCATGTTCTTTACCAATAGACAGGAGACCTTCTGAGACAAAACCAAGCAGTCTAATTTCTACATTTCTGAATTAAAAAAAAAAAAAAAAAAAAAAAAAAGTTACATTAAGACAGCAACAAGACTGCAATGTCTCAGATTTCAGGGAATATCAGAATCACATCTGACTGTAGCTCTCCTCAACGTTCTTTCTAGTCAAGAGCCCCACACTCCCAGGTTCCTCATTGTAGTTACAGGTTACTTAGTCAATCCCATTCAGAGCTACAATTTGATTTTTTAATCCTTTCTGCCTGCTCTCACTGAGTCATTCAGGCACAGTCTTCTCCAACTCTTTCTTCCTATATATTTTAACTTACCTTCAAAATTCACAAAGTTGGGAGCTTTGCACTCCCTCTTGATGCCTATCTCCCACTTAGTCATAGCTGGAAAAAAATAACATTGTGGACAAGTAATCACCCCACCTATATCTGTAATAGCAAAGTTCATTACAGACAACATATTTAGAGAAGTTACTCACAGGAAACTATAAAATCCCAGCTGACCATGTGAGCTTGGATTTATTTACTTATTAGTTATTTCTATCATGGAGACAGCAAAAAGTAACATCCCTAATGTTGCAAAAAGCACAATTGTTTGCTAAATATGAAATCCCTCAACCCAGAAAGAGGAAATCCAAACCAAGAATCACGGGAACCTCTCAAGAAGACGGGTTCAACATTACGTTTTTAAAGTCAAGCTCAAGCACACACTTTCTTCTTGGTGTTTGTCACTTAATAAGTTTCCTTAAAAACATGATTTTAAGTGCTGGTGCATTTGTTGCTACTATCCAGAATACATACTGATGTACCACAATAGCATAGGAAAAGGTAAAAGCAAACTTTTGAAACACTGTGAGCATAAAAGCTCAAGTTTCCCAACCACCGCAGCTCAGTAGATATATGTATTTGTGTATAATGTGATACAGGTCTCCACATTGTTACCAGAAACGCAGCATTTCCATTTTATAGCCTGATATGATTAATAACTAGACATACTTTATGTGTTTTCCAGTTACACCTAATTCACATATTTTCCCCAAAAAAATGCCTTTAGCTATTTTTCTTGCGGAGCTTCTTACCCAATTCTTTTGGCTGTTACGTTCAGCACTTTGCTGTTATGGCTCTCATTTACCTTTTCGCTTGTCATTATTAAATATTTTTATTACTTCCCTCCCGCAGTCTCGCACGGGAAGATGACCGAGGCGACCTCCCTGCAGATTACAACGCAGCACTGGGATTTTTACGAGGGCGGCGGCAAACTTCGCGTGGGCGACTCGCTCCTCGCACGGGAAGAGCGAAGCATCACCCAAGCCTCGGAACAAAACTGGCCGAGGGACTCCCAACATTATCGCCGATTACCGGCGGTGGGGTGCCCCCGGAGGCTGCCTCGGGGGCGCTGAAGCGGCCCCACAGCCGCCATTTGCCGGCGCCCGGGCGGGGCGGGCGCACCTGCCCGCGCGGCGCGAGGGCGGCTGTTGGCCCCGCCCCCCGCCCGCCCTCACCAAGGCGGCGGAGCGAGGAGGAGCCCCCTCAGTGGGGAAGCTTCCGCCGCCCGGGACAGCTTCCCCCGCCACCGGGAGACTGCCGCCCCGGTTAGTTTCGCGGCGGACCAGAGCGCGTAGCGCAGCCATCTTCCCCCCTCGCCGCCCCGCTCGCCGGGAGGGACCGCCTAGGAAACACACACGCCCCCCCCCCCCCCCACCTCCTCGAATGAGGTGGCCCCGCCCCCAGCGGAGGGTATAGCATCGCTCGCCCTCAGGCCGAGTAGCGGAACGCCGAGCGAGCGGAGCTATCTCGATGCGCTCGGTGCTCGCGCCGACCCCGGGCACCCCTCAGGGCCGCTTCCGGAGGCAGCGGGACGGGCGCGGCGGCGGCGGCGGGCGGAGGACGGTTGGCCGCGGCCGCCGTGTCCCCTCCCTGTTCCCCACCCTTCTTCCCCCACCGCTTCGGCAAACAGGTACGGAGGCGGGGCCGCTCCTCCCCTTTGCGCACCGGGGGCGAGTGGGGAGGAGGTGGGAATCGCTTCCTGGGCAGCGTCGACCCGCTACCTGGGGGGGGGCCATGAGCGCGACGGTGAGGAGTGAGGGGGCTGGGGCTGGGCAGGACGGGGCTGGGGCTGAGCGGCAAGAGGGTCCTGGCTGGCCCGAGGGTGGTTGGCCCGCGGCGCTGGGCCCTCAGGGCCCGTTAAGTCAGCGGAGACGTTCCTTACCCCGGGGAAGGGGTGAGGAATGGCGGGGCCGGGAACCGCGGGCCCAGCCCTGCCCGGGGCGGCTGGCGGGTGCTCGGGCAGGGCCGCGGCTGTCCCGTCTTCGCGGCGTGGCGTGGGCCAGCCCCCGGCAGCCCGGCTGGCAGCTGGGCGCAGGCCAGTGGGCGGGAAGAAAGCTTCAAGGATCGGGCCGGTCCCTGGCCCCCTTTTTTGCCTCCAGGGCAGAAGCCAGGTACCACCAAGCAAAGAATCTGCTCGGGTTTTCGACAGAAGCGCGTTCACGGTCCTGTAACTGGGAGCCGTCCGCGTTACGGTACCAGCAGCAGTCCTGCCACCAAGCGTTTGTGGAACGGGCTCCAGAGGAAATGGATCTCGGCCACAGCCAGCGTAGAACTTGCCTTGAGTGGCTCATACGAGCGATTTTTCCGAGTGCGCTGAGGTGCTCGTCTCTGCTATGCTGATGTTTTTAAAGGGTGTTCTTCAGCGTTAAACAAAAAAAGCCCTAGCTCCGCCATAACATTTCTTCTATGCTTGGTACAAGTCATTAACTATTTGGAGACCAGAGAAATGTTGCTCTTTTAGTAACTTGTTCATTTGTTTCTTTTTCGTGTAATAATCACTCTATTTTACTTGTGTGTTAGCTTAAAATCTTGCTCTGCGTGGGACTTTTTCTCAAAGGGGAAGGAGCAGAAAGGCTTTGATCTAAAGAATGTGTTTACATTTTTACACACGGGAGGAAAAAATAGGAAGGGAAAATGCTATTTCACATACATCAGGACAGCTCTTAAGCACCTGACTCTTCATAAAACAGATTTTTGCTGCATGTTTGTTTAGAAGGTAAATCAGTTGCTTGAGGGATTTTGGTGAGAGGAAGATGAATAGCATTTTTGATACTTAGAAAAATAACAGTTGGAGAAGTCACAGTGGAGTTCAGAAGAGTTCTGTCACTGTTGGTAATGAAATTACGTGGTGGAGAGTGTTTCAAATGGATATATACATTTACAGTTTCTTCAGTTGTTAAATAATGTTCATTGAAATGTTTATTGAACATGGTAAATTTTTTGTTTCCTTTAGAACATAATAGAGGAAGAACAATTATTATGCATTGCCTTCTTATGGATGGCCTTGGATGTGACTAGAGCCGTTGTGTTGTTTGTTTCTTACTACTTTAGTGGCAGGCTCAATAATCTGCAAGAAATTAAATGGACAGATTGTAAATGCTGCTGGTGTTCCTGCGGAAATATTTTGAATATAAATAGTTGAAAACTTTAAAAACTGTGCTAATTGTGGTGTGGGTTAATGCCAGTAGGCAGCTAAGCGCTACACACCTGGTTGCTCACTTTCTCCCCACCCCTAGAGGGATGGAGAAGAGAAAAGGAAGAGTAAAAGCAAGAAAACTTACAGGTTGAGGTAAAACTAGTTTAAGTGGAGGAAACGTGGAAAAAGAGAGAAAACCAAACAGGTGTTGCAAAGGCAGTCAATCACACCTCCCACAGGTAGATGGATGCCCAGACAGTTCCTCAGCAAAGTAAGGCTAACCTCCCTAAACCCCCTCCTCTTGCTTATTATTGCTGAGAATGACACTTCATAGTGTGGAATATCTCTAGTTAGTTTGGGTCCTCTATCTGGTTGCGCCCCCTCCACAACCTCTTGCACACACCCCAGTCTCTTTACTGGGGCAGGGTGAGGAGGCAGAGGGAGAAACAAAAAAGGCCTTGATGATGTGCAAGCTCTGCTCAGCAATAGCTAAAACATCTGTGTGTTACCAGCATTGTTTTGGTCATAAATCTAAAACACAGCACCATACAAGATGCTGTGAAGAAAATTAACTCTGTCTCAGCCAGGCCCAATACATAAATACACTTCTTGCTGTTTCTTCTTCCCTCTACTTCTGCTTCTTCTGATCCTAACACAGGTATTAACATAAATAATATATAGATTAGTGGCCAAAGTGGAAAATACAGGTGAAAAAATATGCATTATACAATTGACTCCATTTTTAGACTGTTGAAGCACACATGACAGTACATGGCTGTGTCTTCTGCTGGGCATGTCATTCTCTGTGTTTCAGTTCAGGTGAAAAATGAGGCTCAGATTATTTCTCAAACTCCTGTTCCTGCTGAGGAGGTGTAACGTTAACAAATGCTGAGTGCCTATCAAGAGGAAGTGTACACTGGACAGGAAAGACATGAACAGGCACCAGTGAAAATACAAGTTCAGCCAAGATGTCAGCAATGGATAGATTTCTAAATACATTGTCTTTCTTTCATGGTGATTTGCTCACTGGGCTTCAACTTGGGAGTCCTAACTTCGCATGCAGTTCTTCTGGGGACAGTAGTAATTCATATCCTGGTTTAGTGACCAAGTAAGGATCACCGAGTATCTTCTACAGGCACCCTTACTCTTCTTTCTACAGTGGTGGAATGCTATAAACAGAGGACTAAAGGGGACTGCTCATCCATTACACACAATCTTAACAGCTCTGCATAATTGCTTTCTTAAACTTCACCTTAAAAACAGTTCAGTTGTTCCTTCCTTCATTTCTAGGCTGTTCTAGAATACCGATAGCCTACAGATGAAAAGGTAGTTTCTAGTAAAGTTTATTCATGATCACTTCATGCCCATTTGGTCTCATTCTACTGTCCTTAAAATTAGCTTTGTTTTTGCTCCTTAGTGGTAATCCCTGTGATGCTTTTATTGAAAGCAAGTCTGTTTTCTATTCATCAGGGTTTTGCTAGGCTGGACAAGTTATGCTGTCATTGTATTTCAGTTCATAAGATGGGCAATCCATTACTCCATCCTGATAACCTTTTTTGCAATTGTTCTTTGAATCTGTCTTTGAGGGAACTCCAGCAGGCTCGCTAGCACCTCACTGCATGACATTAGTACTTTTCTGTTTTTACAGAAAAAAAGTCTACTTAAACTTTTTCCATTTTTTTATGGCTACCTCATTTTGGGATTAACTAACAATCCACAAGGGTAAACTTTCTACCACTCATTTTTGGTTTTCAACTGAAGAGCTCTGAATTTAAACACAAATAATTACTATAGTCCCTAAACTCCTTTTATAGTCCCCAAGATATTCCTTCAGATCTTTAATAGGAATCTTGTTCCAACCTGATAGGTGGTTGTATCAAAAAAGGAAACATAACCACATTGCAAGTTTTATACCAAGGTTTAATAATAAAAACTATATGCAAGTTTTAAACTAAAACATTGCAAGTTTTAGTTAGTATAAGGATATACTAATCCTTATTTTTCAGCTAAACTTGTCATTTCTTATATTGTAGATTAAATTACCAGTGTCCATGCAGATTACAGTTACTACACTTATGACATGATATAGCTTTTATATTCTAGCGCATTTTCCATTTAAAAATGGTGGGAAAAGCATTTTTTTTTTTATACATGTGTGATGAGCAGATGTACTTTTGAGCTAGGGAAAACAAACAACTAAATAGTTGAGACATTTTAATTACTGACTGCTCTCTGAACTAGATGCTGACCTACACTTAAAAATCATGGGACAACTGGCTGACCAGTGTGTTTATCTTGAGGCTGAAAAGAAAAAAGAAGAAAAAAAACAAAACAAAACAACCCCTCAAACATACTCTCTGCTGAGCTGGAGAAAATAATTATTTGCCTTTCAACCTATTAAACTGCTAAATTCCTTCTCCAGGCTTCAGTTACCCAATTTTGTTTTTTATTACATGTGGAAGTGGCTGCATGTGGTTAATATTAAAGGGATTGCCGTACGGTAGACCTCATCAGATAACCAGTCTAATTTCTGAGACCGGCTTCTTAATCTTGTTTCTATCTTCATATTCTTTTCCTCAGAAGCGCTTGAGAAATGTGAATAAATGTGAGAATGAGGGGATAACTTCTTCCAGTTCAATGCTTATAACCAATCATAGGTTCAAATCTGTAGTTTTTAACAGGGCTTCCCATGTAGTAGTCTGGTATATTTTGATGTGAAAAATTAAGTGAAGTTGACAGAACCACAGTGCTTCAAGACCAGTTCTTTCATTGTGATTTGATCACGGCGATCACTTCTCTCCCGAGCAGTCACTTCTGTGAGCACTGGCATAAAAGGGCTAGTTTAAGCTATAGTGAAACTGAAGCTGGTTTTCTATTGCTGGTGTTTTAGGGGGTGTGTGTGTGTATTTGTTTTGTAGAGTGTAGGAATACTACCTGCTATGTGAAGCAAAAGTGCTTTCATTAACTGTTGTTGGCCTCTGATATTAACTGATGTTAATGGTGGACATCAGAAAAGGTAAATAAAATGTGTAAATAAAACAATCCAACAAAGCTCTTAAACCTTTATATTTTCCATATAAATGGCACATTTTTTTAATGTTGTTGTTAGAATACTTTATGTTATGCCTTATCTGACTTTAGCGTTTCTTTCAGCTTTCAGACAGAGGACACACAGAAAGAGAAGAGCAGGAAGAAGATAACAATAACACCGAATGCAGCGAACTCGGAATCATGGATCTGAAATTCAATTCATCAAGAAAATACATTTCCATCAGTGTACCTTCCAAATCTCAAACTATGTCTCCTCATATCAAATCAGTAGATGATGTTGTAGTTCTTGGCATTAATCTCAGCAAATTTAACAAACCTACTCAGTTTTTCATCTGTGTTTCTGGAGTTTTTATGTTTTATCTTATCTATGGATACTTACAGGTAAATGCAGTGAACTTTTGTCTTAGGCCAAAACCTTCTACCCCTTTGCTTTTTCAATAGCACAATAATATATTATGTATTTTAATATGCATATATGTTTAAAATAGATACTGGTTGCAAAGTCAAGCTTTCTGAATTCAAGAGCAATAAGTAATTGTGTAATGTAAGATTCCATTATAGTTCATGTGCCTACAAGGTTTGCTTCAGTTGGATTTTCATAACTTGATCTTTGACTTCTGTGTGCAAGATACACCTTTTAATATTGTTTTGAATGTGTATTTTTTAAATGTGATTTCATAGTCTTTTGAAAACAAATGAATTGTAGAACCATACAGACTGATATCTAAGTCTTCACTGGTGTTGAAACCTTTAGATCTCCTTCAGTTCTGTGAGTGCCGAACAGTAATAGTGGTCTGTTGTTCTCTCTGCTCTCCCTTCAGGATGGAGTTGAAACATGTATTATGGTTGGTTGTTAAGCAGAAGCATAGTGATTACACATTTCAGTTAAACATTTATCTTCCTGCTAACCTTTTCTCTTTTATACTAAGCAGCTACATTTCTGTTCCTTTTTATTTTTTTTTTAAGTTCAGCGAGTCTTCTCAATAAAGCAGTGATTTAAGAAATTGATAATCAAAAATCACCATATTTCCAATGCATTTTCAAAAAAGCTAAGAAGTCTGTTACTTTTAAAGAGTTAGACAAAGTTATAGGTAATTGAAGGCAGAATCTCAAAAAGCAAAATATTAGGTAGCCTTTTGTTTCTGTAACTGACACATCTGCATAATTCTTTATGCAGTGCATGTGGATTTACACCAGCAGTAAATTTTTTCATTGCTTTTTGGAGAACCTAAGTTGTCTTTTTCAAGTTATATATGGCAGGTAAATTCTAGTTAATAACCAGCATCTGCAAAGGCTAGATTTGCATGTACACAAAAAAAACCCAAACCAAAACCACAACAACCAAACAATAAAAACCTGTTGATTTTGCTTTGATTTAACATTTTGGTGTATGTATGTGACCTTAGTGGGTTTTTGTTTTTATAGGAATTGATATTTTCAGTGGAAGGTTTTAAACCGTTTGGTTGGTACCTCACTTTAGTGCAATTTGGATTTTATTCAATTTTTGGACTAATAGAATTGCAGTTGATTCAGGACAAAAGGAGAAGGTATGTGTTTTTCCAAGCATTTTACCCACTGTCCATCAAATTAGAAGCATTTGATATTTATGGTAAATTTAACTTCTGTTGCTTGAATGTGAATACTGTAAGGCATTGGTAGCAGTTCTGTAGTTAAAGTAATGTGGATTTACTGGACGACGTTAGAAAATATTTTATAAGGACCTGCTTAGATTTCAGACCCAGAAGTAGTCTTGTTGACTCTACTGTCACTTTGTCCCACTTACAGAGCACATTCGGTCCTTATGGTAGGTGGTACAGACTGACTCATGTACGTGTTGCTTGGGATTATCACATCTAGAATAAGGCCAGCTGCACTTCACAGCACTTGAAGCCATCTGTCACTGAAAGCCTTTTCCTCAAACCTTGGCACATCCTCACCAAGGGTTTCCTCTAACATGCTGTGCATCTTGGTGTCAGAGGTCTGCTCTCTGCCATGTGATTGTGTAGTTTTACTTCAAAGGATGTGCTTAGGGTTTGCATTTTTCGTTTAAGATAGCACCCTGCCACAAAATTCTGCGTTTTCACTGAAGTTGACCAAGGAGATTCTTGCTGTCTTGAATCCTATGGATATGGGATAGTTTGATCTGACTCAGTGTGGCCATTCTATGGCTTCCTGCCCAAGTACAGCCTCTGCAAACTGTGTATTGAGGCACTCTGGAAACTTGGATAGAGGCTGTCACGGTGTACAAGAATTTTAGTATTGCTTTAAAACATAATATCCTAGATGAGCTTAATTAGTTTTCCTTGCCTGTAGTCAACCTTGGCTGATTTTGCCTATACTGATTTTAGGTAATAGAATTCTTTTGTAGCCAAACAGCGTAACTTGGATAAATTATTCTTTTTAATTTAAACACTGGCAACTTACATTTCAAGTTACCTGACTTTTCGAGATGCATCAGATAATACTGCATAGTTATCTTTTTGGCGTTCTGTAATTAGTATTTAGGTTTTGATTACCAAATAGCTGATAATGTTTATAGAGCATGACCCTGTAAATTATGTTGGAAAGGTAGATCTTAAATATTGTACATTTTATTTTCTATAACCTAGACATCAACTTGTTGACATTAAAAAATCTGTTTCCTAATTTTTATGCAGAATTCTCTATTTCTTAAATTTAAAATTTTTCCTGCATGCCTCAGAGTATGCCTACATCACATAATGCGTTATGGATAAGACAGGGTTACAGCAAGGCATCTCCTTACGTTTCTTAATGTGTCTCTGAGTGTGCATAAAAAATAGCTGAACATATGCACAACAATAACTGTAAAAAACATCACTTCACAAAGTGAGCACAGTGATTGCTAAAAATTACTGTTGGATCATCTGTTGTCAGATGATTAATTTCATCAAATTGCAAACAATACATCTGAAAATGTTCAATGAGCCCCTCCGTTTGTGATATCTGAATCACTTCTCTCTTAGTTCTGTTGAGTTTTATAAACAACGGTACTTTTAAAAACTTTCTTCATTCTAAAAATGTCAACGTTCGTGTGAAAACTTGACACGGTGACTATGACAGGACTAAGATTCAGGATATCTTGGTATACCAACCTTCTGTGTTTCCTTTGACAGATAACCTGAAGCCTTGGTCTTTATTGTTCTGTAAATAATATACCTTCTCAGAAGGAGGCTAAAGAATTACTGCTTGAATACTTTATGAGCCATGAAGTTTTTATTGTCTTGTATTTGAATGCTCTTTATTACCAGTAATTGAAAGGAATGAAATTGGAAATCATTTATGTGCATTTTTACATTTCTATTACAGAATGAAATTCAGTGAGAAAGATGGTCAAGTTGTATTGCAAACATATTCCTTTATTTGAATTTCCCAAGTTAAATCTCTAGAAGAGTCTGTAATGTCAAGATTCATATGTTTATATTTTGTAGAATTCCTGGCAAAACCTACATGATAATAGCCTTTTTAACAGTGGGAACTATGGGTTTGTCAAATACCTCTTTAGGGTATCTGAATTACCCGACTCAAGTCATCTTCAAGTGCTGTAAGCTGATTCCAGTTATGATAGGCGGGGTTTTGATACAAGGTAAGTGTTAGTCTTGCTATTAGATGATTTCTTTATTGTTTCTGTATGGAATCCTGTACTTTGTAAATTCCACTGAGGCTCTGAGATAGAGAGGGGCAGGTAGCATCTTTCCTATAGGAGGGAAAACATGAAATTCTGAAGCATCTTCTCATAAACTGTACAAATACAGTTGTAGGGAAAAAACAGTGGCACAGGTCACTTGCAAAACTTCTTTTTTTATGCAGGCTTTCTCAATTTTTAAGCAATGTAACTTTGTTTTCTAAACCAACTCACTTCTTAAATGAAACGGACAGAATTTCGAATTATGTGTTTCTGTAGTTAATTGTGGCCTAGTTGCAATTGAAAGCTGAACTGTCAGAGGAGGTTGCAAGTATACATACACACATGCATGCACAGTATTTGCCTTTTATTAGGAATCATTTTATATCATTTTAATGCAGAGAGCCAGGTATTTGCTTCAAGCTTTGTGAAACTACATATTGTGTTGTAGTATTGTATTCAGAAGCGGTGATTTTTGTTGTTGTTGTACTTTTTTAAAATTTTAAATTTTTAAACTTCAGATTTTCAGTTCAGAAAAGTTCCCTTGGAAGCTTATATTGAAACTACAGCTTCTGGGAAAGTATATCTTGTTTGAAGTAACTTATTCCTAACTCCTGCCTCTTCATTTCCCTACTCTCTTTCCTCTCACCTCCACATCCTGTCTCTCTCAAACTAAAAGACGATGTAGGATTCTAAAACTACCCAAATAATCTCTTAGTGTTTGGGAATGACTTCTGTCTAATCAATAAAGGCAGCCAAAATGTCTTGCACGCGGGAAAAATCTTCAGAACACATCTAAGCTGACCTGAAGTTGCCGAGATGGTGCTTTGTCAGGCAGGATGTGCTTTATGTCATTAAGAGTAAAACTAAAACTGACCACAAGAATCAGGTATTATCTGTTAAGATCCCCTTCCATGTTAGGAACTGCTGTTGTAGAAGAAACTAATTCCAGTCATGAAAGGCCAGAGCATTAAGTCTTCTGCTTAAGTGAATGACATTGGCAACAGATTTTCCTTTGCCTTCTAGTCTGCTAAACAGGATAAACACGAAATTCTGGGAGTGATAACATTCTGTTCATGTTGTTTGTATTGCTTTTGTAGGAAAACGTTATAATATTGCAGATGTGTCTGCTGCCCTGTGTATGAGTCTTGGATTAATATGGTTTACTTTAGCTGACAGCACAGTTGCACCAAACTTCAACTTGACAGGTAAAGATATAATATATTTTAGAGTTTAACGAAATGCTTGTTTTTTCCTACAATAAATGTTTCATAGGAGTTCTGAGGGTTCTTGGTGGAGTGCCTTCAGGTATCATATGGAAAATGCTGGTTTCATTGTAGCTTTGCACTAGCAGAACTATATCTGTGGCAGAAGAGGCCACACTTATTCTGTTAGTTTTCAGGTTCTTAAATTTCTGGAAATTCTACCCTTTATGTCTCATGCTTGTTCTCAAGAAATACTTTTCAGTAGATATGTTAAAATAAATATGATAAAATTCAGTTTGACCATTTTAAACATCAAAAGATGAGTTGCCTTTTCTAGTTAAACCTTTAAGTCTTTCCTTTTCAAAACCATTTACTTTATATTAACTGATGGTCTCACTCAGATTTTCTGTAGTTCTTAGTTGGAGTGCTCACATTCTAACTTTTCTATATTGTGTAAAATCAGAAGCAAAGAAAAGATTTTTAACCTGCTTGAGTCTAAAAATTTACTTGAATTTCTTTCTCAACAGACAAGGGAGAATTGGTCATTCATAAAATCCATTTTATTTATTTGGCCGGTGCTTAGATTAATACTGAACCTGAAAAAATTTTGGATATTCAACTTTTAGTGTATTCTTTTGAAATTCTGAGATGAGTTACAACTGTTACAACAGACATTCAGTGTGAAACATCTTTTTCTTAATAGGGGAGGCACTGATTTAAAAATTTTGTTCCTAAAAATAGTAAATCCTTGGCTTTAAGGAAGAGACTTTTTGTCCTCACAAAATATTATTTCATCTAGTAATGATCAATTTGTGGTGTTGTCTAAACTGTATATAACTTGCCTTGCTCATAAATTAATTTTTATGCCTTTTAATGTAATATTAAGGATAGTGGAAGAAATGACAAATATCTGTGAATGATATAACCTGCTGTGCATTTGATGTGTTTAGGTGTGGTGTAACTGGGTGGCTGCTTGAAAAAAAAAAAATATATTTGAGTACAGTATGATGTTGGTAAGCATGTAATTATATTCTAATGTTTCTGATGTATAGATATATGTTACCATTACAACTATTTTCGACTATAGTCTCTAAGTCCATTCGCATGTTATATATTCCTTTTGTAAAGTTTCAATTGTTTTAAATATGTGCTATGACTTAATTCTGAAAAGATTTGGAAAGTTGATTCTTCAACTGAGTGGGACAAGGTAAAGTGCAACAAGCATACCAAAGTCCTGACACCCTCAAAGATCTGCAAAACACAAGATAAAAAACTTTAAATGTTTTCAAAGAATCAACAGGGTTGTCGTTCATTATTACTTTACTTTGAACACTTTAAACAAGTCTGTATATATTGAAGCTTAGAGCACTACCATTTGGAGTAAGTTAGTTCTGTGAAAATAGAATATAGAACTAGAATTCAGAAGTCTGGATTTCCCCTTAGCAAGGGGATTTGAAATTCTCCCGCTCACTTTGAGAGGGTTCTTTCTTTATTCCTCTGTTGCCTCTTGCCTGTTTTGTTTTATTCTCATGTCACTTAATTTAACCAGAAGAAACTTTTCATAATGGGAAAGGTGGAGTTTTTCCGTTTCTTGGACTAATTACAGAGATAGATGGTCCCTTCCTTCAAAAAATGTACTGATTTTGCTATTGTAGAAATACATAGCTGCTGAAATGTAAAACCACTGATGAGAATTATTAAAAACTTTGATCACTCTGCAAAATGGCATATTCTTTTGAATAATTACACTTTTCTTGATGTAAATCACAGAATAAGAACTGAAAGCAGCGATAGAATTTAAATTTGTATCTTCATAGAAATAACAAAGTATTTAAGGATGTTAAAACTTTCAAAAACATAAATAACAAATGAAATGTGAAATTTCAAAATTACTATTTTCTAAAGTTGCAGTTTTATGTTACCGCCTACTTAGTGCCCTGCAAAATTCCTGAGTACCTTCCGGTGATTTATACACATTTATGTAGAACTGTTTCCATGCAAGCTAGTATGATTCTAGTGTGATTTCACAGAACCTCTACTAACTTAAGAACAAAGCTGTTTACATTTCACAGCTCTAAGAGACCAAAACTCTGCTGTGAAGGTAAATGAAATACATAATCTTTGCTTGATGCAAATACATCTGCTCATGCTCCATTTTTAGTAAAATACTGTTTGGATGAACAATTTTACAGGTTGGTTGTTTTGGTTTGTTCTTTTCCTTTTCCCCTGCTACTGAAATCTAATTTCAGTATTGCTGGGCCAAAAAAGGAATCTACACGGATTTTTTTTTTTTTTTTTTTACACACAGAGGAAGTCAGCCAAGAAAACACACTCTTCTGCCAGAACAGGTACATATTTATAACTAAGGAAGAGGTATACTTTTCAAGATGGAGTTGGTGCTAAGAGGATCAAAGCATCTGCTAGCATTATCCAATCAGAGAGGTAGTGGTAGCTATCCTAAATAGCTGTGAAGAATAGATACAGGACTTTTCAGAAGAGAAGTCTGTGCAGAAGAAGGTAGTCTTCAAACACTGGTGCTATGGGAACTTCTGTTGTTCTGGCATTACAGGTGTAAATGGAAATTAACTGTTTTCACTGAAGACACAGTAAAAATATCAGTTGCACACAAATTCTTCCACCCTTGATTGTTTGTATAGATGCAGTTTAGTCTTTTGCAGACTGAAGAATTTTGTCCTTAGCTTCACTGTTGTTAATACAATATTACTTGGTTAGCTACCTCTACTGTGTTTTCTAATCTTACGTATGGCAGGCATCTAAAACATGGAATGCTAAAGAGGTCTTAATGGTCAGGTAAATTCCAAACAACTCACTAGTCTAACACTTAGGCATGGTGGGGATTACAAGTGTGAAAATATAGTGGTGAGGAACTTGTAAATATCCAGTAGCTCATAAAAGTATAAGCAGTGTTAATATTTTAATGATTTCAAGCATCACATTAATAGTGTAAAATACAATGTCATGTAGTGTTTCAATCAAGTCTGTTGGCGCAAGAGCTTCAGGTTTAATTTCGTTGAGAACTAATTTAGGACCAGTTCTTCCAATTGTTTTTACTCATGCTTTCCATACTATATAACATTACCAGTCTCGGTCATGGTTTTGCTGCTCGGCAGGTGCAGCACTATCACAATGAGTAGAACAGTTCTTCTCTTCGTACTCCAAACTGTGTATGTACGTAATACTAAAATTTGTCTTGTCCCTACGTTTCTCCTTTCCATGTGCACTTGCACTTCAGATTCCAGGTGACTTTTTCATCTCAATCCAATACTAAAGCCATGCATTTGTCCAGTGATGTGCCTGGGCCATTGAGCGCTGCTGGAGCAAGCATGATAGAGAACATGGATGGAGACATAGTCAGTCACTTAACAGAAGTGATCTGTGGCAAGACTATTGCTGAGCTGGAGGTCTTATACCTTTGGACCAGAGCTGAATCCATTTAGTTAATATAGCTATACTGTGATCTTTAGCATAACCAGTATTATTCAGGTTATCATGTAATTTCCCTTGAGTCATACCTTTTCCGGTGCTTGATAACTTTGAATAATGAAGAGTCTTTTTCTGTTGTTTCAGTTGCATAAGTCTAGACTGGGAAAGGAGATGGTTCCCAAACTAAAAATGCTGGTTTGGAAGTTCTCATATATCCAGAAGTTTGCCAAGGAGTTGCCATCTTAAACTTCATTGGTCTTAAAAATGTTAAATCTTTCAATTCTGAAAATCCTAGGGCTGGGAGGTTTTGTTTGTTTGTTTGTTTTCCGCTGTCAGGAGCTTATGCTTCATATGGTTCATGAGAATACCTAATTTGAGAATTCTGATAGTAACAACATAATATTAAGAAAATATAACACTGCTTGTTTCTATTCCTCCACTCCTCATTCTTCCTTGGTACTTGCAGTGTTTTAATGAACCAGGGCTAGAGCAGACAGTAAACATGATTTTGATGACTGTTATCTGTAATGTTGCATACGTAGGAGAAGTGGTATTTCAACCTGTGTGCGTCATTAAATACAACAGTTACTACAGTCATGAAAGAATCAAAGTTTGGAGGTTGGAAAATGAATTGTGACTGGCATGGATAAAGAATTATCAATTTCTGGTATTGGAAGGCTGATTACGTTATTGACTGTATAGTGACTTTGTTGTGAACAAATATGGTAATGTAAAACAGTGGAGTTTGTACCTGAACAGTATTTTTTAAAAACTAGTATTTCAGTAATGAATGATTTCCACTGTGAATCCTCTTGCATTTGTTTTACCGTTACATCTAACATATCTATTTGCCTTTGTCAGGAAAAAGCAATCTAGGTTTAACTACTCAGAAGAGTATGTTCTCTGATTATTTATCTTCATTAAAAATACCTAAATAAATGCAATTGACATTCTTTCACTCTTGTTACTACAAAAACTGCAGCTGGCTTCTTCATAGCAATGTGCAGATGTTCCTATCAAGCTTAGAGACACACAGTGCTCAGGGGTTAACTGGTGGAGGGAGTCAGGGTGGATGCTGCTTTATGATGATCTAATGAAATAGTTTTGCTGACATTTTGAATATGATACAGACAGGGTTTTATTACTATCTTTCTATTCCTGAGATTTATTTATTTTTTTTTCAGGATAAGTACAGAGTGGTTTTTGTCACTACTCTGCTGATAAATATTCTGAACAGGTTTTTTGTTTGTTTGTTTTCTTATATTAGGTGTGGTCCTAATATCCCTTGCCCTCTGCGCAGATGCAGTTATAGGAAATGTACAGGAAAAAGCTATGAAGTTGCACAATGGTTCTAATTCAGAAATGGTAAATACCAAATTTGCAATTTTGAAAGAACACGTTCTATCATAGACAAGGCATACAATGACAAAACATAAAACTTAATCTGATTTTGTCTTGCATATGTAAAGAAGAGCTCTTGGTGTGCTATTCTTGTGGTTTTCTGTTTGCTTGTTTGGGGGCTTTTGCTGTTTTTTTTTTTTATTATTTCTTTTGGTTTTAACCTTTCAAGGGTGCTGCTTTCTGTGTGCAACTTCAAATGTGTATTGTAGTTGCAGAAACACTCATTTCTAACAACATTTTTTTTGTCTACCCTGCAGGCCTGAAATCAGTGGTGTGTTTTCTATATGATCATGCACTTAATCTCTGAAAAATATACACTGTTCTTCTGGTGTAGATGAGCATGTATTACATGGAAGACATTGCTTTTCCTACTTGCTAGGCTTCTGATGCTAGAATGTGCTAACATTTGAGAGTCAGCCTTTTTTTGGAGCTTTTGAAATCCATAAAACTCTTGACTTTTAGAGTGGATGAATATGTGTTCCTGGTTCAGTGCAATGCGTAATTTTGAAAGAGTCTTGCTCAGTGTTTTTTATATACTTATTTGTAATGCGGAATAACCATTCATGTGTTCTGACTTTTTAGACAAAATTTATGTTTGAATTTGGCATCTTTTTCTCTAAAGTCAAGTAAATACAAGAAAATCTTTTATTATAGTAGACATTATTTGAATATGCCATAAGTAAAAAATTGTTGAAACTTAATTTGAATATTTGGCATCTATTTGACATTCAACTAGAAAATCTAGTTTCTCATTCATGAGAATAGCTTCACAAATGGAGAAGAAATTAGTTAGAAGGAAGCTTCAATTAAGGCTGAAAGGGATTAAGGTGGGCTCAAGAAGTTTGAGCTGCAAGTTTCTAGAAAGTGGAAGAGTATACCTGAAAAATGTCACCGTATTCTTGTTTTTATTTTTGTACTTTGTCTTAGTATTCACTGTTGACTGCTGCTGGAGACAGAGATTTTAGCTACACAGACCTCACCTGACCCAGTGCAGCATTCTACAGCTGTAATCTCTGAAATCTAAAACAAAGTACAATCTGTAACTATTTTCTTGCCCACTTCGCATCTTTCCAGCAGTCATCTGGCAGTTGTTAACTGCCTCACCTATGAACCTCCTGTTATCTCCAGAACTTTGCTTTTTATTCTGCATTAGTCTGACAAATGGTTTTCATACTGTATACTCATACTGCTTGAAGAGAATCAGTATAGTGATTAAGGAAATAAAGATTTTGTTTGGTTGAGGACTAGAGATTACACTTCAGGATTTTGTTTGGAGAATTCAATGCAGAAGCACAATAAAAATTTCAGAAATCATTTTTGTAGATTTGAGACTGTGGGTAAAAAAATCTAAGAAGTCATCGAATCAGAGATCATGATTAATGGACAGTGATCTGGAAAAAAAATTGAATAGTAAAAGAACTTGTCATCTGCAGGATCTCTGGTTTGTTGCTGAATTTGGAACTTGCCCTGGATTGAGCAATTATGAAGAGAGAAAAGATGTGGCTGAAATAGTAACCACTGCTCTGGAAGGTTATACTTGATTTTGCCCTCTGTGTGATTCTAAGCAGGTGGCTTGTTTCACGCTGCATAACGAGGAACTGGCAATGTGCTCATTCCTGGTTGTGAAAAGTGAGGTCATTGGGAGAAAAGCTGGATGCAGAGGCAAATGAAGAACTAGAGACTAACTTTTGTGTGTATAAACACTGTAAAATAAGAGCTCTGAAGATCAGGTCATTGTTTTTAAGAGTTTGAAAGCAGTTCTGCTCTTGAAATATATATTCATCCTCCTTTATTGTAGAGCAGTGATAAGTGTTCTCTTGTCTCATGGCATTGTTATTAATTGTTAATAGATTTATTTTTGCAAATAGAGATAGTATAACAAGAAAACAATTGATGAAACCTGTGTCAAAAGAAGTAGGCCTGTAATTGACACTGAGTTTTGAAAGTGTAGTAGATCAATGTGTTCTAGCTAGTAATGTGTAGAATAGTTCTGTTCACTGTCTCCCTTTTTCAGAAGAAAAGGCCACTAAATGTTGTCCAAACAAGCTGAATGCCTCCCACTGCATGGGAGGATGTATGGTTGGGCAGTTCCAGCCTCTATTCTTGCCCCTACATGGGAAAGGATAGGATGAAGGTTCTTTTGTTGATGTATGAAGCTATGAATTAAATAATGGTACAGATGAAATGAAGAGCTTACCTGTTTGCTGAGCATAGTCTGTTCTGAACACTCAACTGGCCAGAACTGATTATACTTGGAAATCTTATACCCTATAACCATAATGCAGGTGCGCCGTCTACATGAGCTGAAGTGACACAGATGAAACTTCTTTTCACTGTATATCAGCTATTATAGAAATCCTTGTAAAAATATCTGCAAACACTGCAAATTCAACTCTGAGAAGTTGAATATGTTAATGGGGACAAGCATTTGAAAGCATTTAATTTTGTCCTTTTTGTATAGTATCACCTGGTAATTGTTTTCTCTTAAACTATTCTAGGTTTTATATTCCTATTCAATAGGTTTTGTGTATATTTTATTTGGATTAACATGCACTGGTGGATTAAGCCCTGCAGTAACATTTTGTTCAAAGGTAAGTGTAAAGACTTTTTTTTTTTCTATGAAGAACCTCATTGGAAGACATTGCTCTGTATGATTTAGAAAATCTCACCACTTCTCTAAAGTTGTATTTTCATCATGTAAACTGGTTAACTTGTATAATTTGTACATTAAGTTGTTGCAGTCTTGGATGTATAAGATAGGGTGATGTTTTAAAAAACAAAATCACAGGACCAGACTTATGAGCTTATAATTTCATTATTAGTTTTCCATTATTTAACTAAAATTAAATAAGGATCTTTGCATGAATGCGTTGTTGAACAGCTTATTATTGCTCAAGCAGTTGATTAAAGTCTAGTTTTATGTCATTTTGCAACACCTCAGGGTTTGTTTTACATTTTCCTAACAGGTTTTTGTTGTTGTTGCAGCATCCAGTGCAGACTTACGGTTATGCATTCCTTTTCTCCCTGACTGGGTATTTTGGCATATCCTTTGTTCTAGCTTTGATTAAAATCTTTGGTGCCCTTCTGGCTGTAACAGGTATGAGCAAATGGTATCTTTACTGCTTTTGGTATAAAAACATAAAGTAATCCTATTCTGTTATTTAGGACAGAGCTTTTGAGAATTATTCTTACTCTGGCTTTTTTTCTATTATTTGTGCTGACTGATCATGGTTTGTGTAGCATGGAACTTTGCAAGAAGTATGTGTTTGAGAGCTTCCTGGTTCTTTCTGTGCCACAATTTCAACCTTGAAGAGCCTCTTAAGTAATCTTGTGCATAGAGACTGTGCTATGTTTTAATGCAGTAACAACACTGTTCTAAACAGAGGAATTGCAATGGAAATGTATAGCAAGGTGTAAGGAAAAGACAGGTATTATTTGAAACATGGAAGGAAATGCAAGGATGTTCCAGTAAGGCATAGTAGACAATGTCATAGTCTCTAAGCACAGAATTTCTGGAGATTTCCAACAAATGGTATTACTAGAAAAACAATGAAGAACTTTCCCAAAGCTTCTGAATGTCAGTTGGATGCCGCTGTAGCAGTGTTAAATGTACACTCCGGGCACAGCTCAGAAGGAACTCAAGTGGAACAAATTCTGACTTTTGTGATGTTCCCAGTTCTTTTTATTAAACTGAAGGTAATAAAGGGTGTGTATTAGTTTTGGAAGTCAGAACTTGAACTAAACAAAGTTCTGGTGGGCTATGTAACAGCTTCTGTATTACATCTAAATTGCAACTTGTGTATTCACAGAACATGTACAAGCTTGTTGTCAATGGCAGAAGCAGACTCTGTCTAGTCCTTCAGGTCTTATTCCAGACTTCCAGTGTAATTGACCCACAAAAAATGGAAGCAGTCATGTTTTCTGTTAAACGCATAGTACAGAGTATGACCGTATGAAGAAAAACATGTCAGAAGAAAAAATGTAAAGAACTCTGATCAGTATTATTTTGAAAAGATTTGGGCTACTTTCTGGTGTGTCTGTTAGCTGCATGTGCAAGTGGAACAATAAAAGTCCCTAAAGTATGTAAAAAGTTACTGGAATCTTCTCCAGGCTAAAAAAGGCACCAAATGCCATCTTGTCTGCTCCTGTGATTGTTCATGCCTTAAAAAAAGTTTCTATGATGTGGTGTTCTCACCTAGTAATATTATAAGTTCCTAGCAGTAAATGCAAGTCAGACCTATCTGTGCTGACGTGCTCCAGGTATGTGTCCAAATGGTTGAAAAAAGGAGGACATGAAGCAAGAGGCAGTCACAATCGTTTACAGATTTTTCAACCTGTATAGATATTCAGCCTTGGACTCTTGTCCCATATGCAGCTGGACATACTCCTCGCATTGAGTAGTCAGTCATGTGGAAAAATCATGTGGAGAGGTTGAAATCCTACTAGCTGAGATTGGATCTCTGTGAATGAGGAAGGAAGGCACTGAGCACGATGGGTCACAGCACTGCGCTGGGGAGTAATGTCATCTGAGTATGCTTGGGCTTTAGTAATGCATTGGCTGATGTGTGCATTAGAAACAATGAAAATTATTAAAACTAAACATACTCTGGGTAGAAGGACAACTGTAAGTCTTCAGAGACGGAAGTGTGTTCAGAGCCCAGGGATACTTTGTCTGCCTGAGGTCCGTGATGGCAGAAGCAGTATAGAATATGACTAAATCAAAGGAATCACTAGTAAGACATATGCAACAAATTGTGGCTCAGAATTTTTTTATACTAGTTTATTGAGGCCATGGCCTATTTTAGCGTGTGGCAAAGCTAGCTACAGCCAAATGTTTTTAACCTTTACTATTGTGAGTTTGTAAAACAGCCAAGTGACTGAAGCATTTACATATCCGAATATCCTCAACCGTTAGAATAAGGGGAAATGACACTGCCGTTCATTTTAATAGCAATTAATTGTAATGTTAATGTTTTTTATGTATCTAACAACACTAAATGAAAAGTTTGACACCTGATCATTTTTCATCATCTTCCTGTGCACCAGTTTTCAGGCTAAAATTATTATTCTTCCCTATATGCAACTACTATAGAACGTAAAATTGTTTGTAGAAAATTGTTGCTTCCAAACTTAAAATGTAACTTGAGTGTATTTTTCAAAAATCAGTCATTGCCTATTTAGCTGCTTCTGTCATTTCTGTAGTTGTTACAAGTCTATCAGAATAGTTATACCAGGCTTGTGCTTTCCTCAGGTTACCTTTTATTAAAACTACAAACATTAGTCATGATGGCTTGAGGGGGAAAGGTGTAGCAAGATGCCATGGAGCTACTTTCCTGTCATCCCTCTACCCCTAAAAGCTGGTTTCTGTCAGGTGATGCTCTGTTTTGTTCCCAGGAGTGGAGAGGAAAATATAAACAGTTGTTTTCTGACCTGACGATTGCATGTTCTACATTCCTGTTAATTATTTTCTCTGCAGCACTTCTGTTTCGTGTTTGTTTTTAACAATGTTTGGTTATGTCTCCTGACTGGAAATTGGCCCAAATGAAAGGGTTGGTTCATGTATTAAAATAGCTCTTTAAAAAAACTGACATCTTACTGAGCTAAAAATGTTTTAAAATGCTGTGGCATAGCAAACCCTTCCCAGGTTTTCTTATGCCTGACCTTGACAATCCTAACACTTGAGCCCTTTCTGTCTTGCCTGTAGCAATGTGAAAATGTTTATTGTGCCTTGGAAGAACACCACATTCATTACTGCCCCTCCCACCCCCTGTCCACCCTCCCCCTTCTTGGGGTGAAAGAGTTTAATGAAAATTGTATTTCTATTAGCAGAATGAGAAATTATCAGACTTAATTGGGAAAAAGAAGAAAAGGCACTTAATTTAGAGGGAAATGGTTACATAAATATTTTAATTAATAACTGATTTGAAAGAACAGAAATAATCGTAATTAGAAAAACTGAAGTAATTTAACCATTTTTTAAATTATTCATCTGTAAACTGTTTTCTAATTAAAACTCAATTTTCTTTTTCATTCTCCTTTAATTTTTCATGTGATAGAAAATCATTTTATTTGATGTGCATACATTTCTTAAAACGTAGAGAAAATTGTTACTAAAAAGTTGAGATTGGGGCAGATAAAGCAATGATGAAGGCTGTTTCTTCCACTACGAAATATGCTTTTAAGTAAATATTTGTTTGTGGGGAAAGGTTAGGGAGAATGAAACTTGTTTTTCCGGCCATAACAGCATGAAAATGTCAGTAGTTTTTGGTTCCTTTTGTCAGTATGTTACAGTAAGACTACTGTGGATGTAGTTATAACAGTAAGGCTTTCCAGTATGCTATAGTAAAAAGTACCTCCTGGTAAGTAAAATATTTTCTGTTAATAAAAACCATAGTTTTCTTTAGGTGCAAAGAATTGTACTGGGGTCTTTCTTAAGTGAGAAGCCTGCACTATCGTATAGAATAGCACCTTCTCAGGGCCTTAACAAGTAGCTAAACTTGTATGCCTGGCTGTGTTGTTACGTCGTTTTAAAACATTTTCTGTAACTTTTACTCATTTATCGATTTTATTTCAGTGGTAAATTATATAGGTTTCCCAGTATGCACTTTGCTAACAACACTGCACTCTTGTTCATAGCAGATAGCATTGACATTGTTCAAATAATTGTTGGAGCTATAGTTAATTTGAGAGTAATGCAAACAGCTAGTTTACTTCCATTTTGGTAACAGGATTGTGTTCCGAGCTCTTCTTACTACCTCGATTCTTTCTTCTGATAAGTTCACATGTAGAAGAAGGTCTCTGAACGGTTTTGATGTAAACTTCCTAATGAAGTCATTGAAGTCAGACATCCTTGGTCTCTTAAGTTTCTAACCAAAATTGTATATCTCTGCACTGTCAGGTCAATTTTCAGTAACTTCAAAAGAATGACAAGATGATGATCCCATTGCACTTAAAAATAAAGTCCAAAACACCACTGAACTGTAATAACATGAGGTGAAAATGGCAAGAGATTTGGTGTATCCAAATAGTGGTACCACTTTTTTCTACTTCAACAGATTAGTTTATAGGTCAGTTACTTGCAAGGATTGTTTGTTGCTTTCAGATACTGTGAATTGATTAGTGTGAAGTTATTAAATAGCAAGTCTTGTTCTGGAAGTTTCTCTGCTGCACATATTGTGGCTGGAGCTGATGGACAGACTCTGTACTTGGTTCAAACAGGGTATGGTTCTAGCACTGTTCTACACTGGACTGGTGCATGTGCAGTCTGTGTTTGCACCAATGATGATCATCATTTTAGCCAGACACTTAATTATGTAATGAAGTTATCTACTAATATTGAAGCCTATATTATGTTCAGCTGTAACTGAATTCTTAAGTAAATATTTGTTTCCCTCTGCAGTAACAACAGGAAGAAAAGCAATGACCATTGTGCTTTCTTTTTTGTTCTTTTCAAAGCCATTCACATTACAGTAAGTATTTATAGTTTTAAATGGGGGTTTTATATATTTTATAAAAAATTATGTTCTTGATCATGGAAATATAACAACAGTAATGAATCATATTCAGGTTTTAATGCTTTTCATTTCCTATCTTCTACAAATGTTGGCAATCTGCTGTAAGTATTGACTGGCTTGTTGATGCTAATCATGCTAGAGAAAATAGCTTCCATTTTTTAAAGGTCTGAAAGACAAGCTATTTTATGTGTTGGCATTTTGTTTTGTTTTTTTTTTTTTTTTAAGGAAAATCTTCCATAATATCTAGTACTTATGATAGTTAATAAATTGTTTGTGTACTTTCTCTCTGGAGGAAGATTTGGCTAAAGGAAGGTATTTACTCCATTACAGTATTTCCACTTTCATGAGCTCAGGTTTGAGTTCTTAGCTAGCCCTTTTAAATAACTGCAAGCTTCTATCATATATATATTCTTGAAATATCAAATTGTAAGATTTTTGAGCTTGGGTTTCTTCCTTTTTTTTAATTTCAAGGAAGAGCTTTCATTGAGAAATGCAGCTAAGTTGCTACATTGATTCTAACTGCTTCTGGTTTGAAACAAAGTACTGTTTTATTTTTATTACTATGTATAAATTCATTTGAGATTTAAGAACAAAGCTGATTGCCAAATGCTCAAATGGAATTTACTCCTGATATCTTGAGGCTTAAAATAATGGAGAGCTGAAAGAAAAACGTGTTTGCGTTGGGAAGTATGGATATAAGGCACTGAGTGAGAACACATTTTGGAACAGTAATAGGGAGTATAGCTCTCATAACGGTAGGAAGAAAAAACGTGCTTGGGATTACTTTATTCATGTGAGAAAGAACAGCTACTGTTTAGTTATTATTAACTATGAATGCACCTTACTTACGCTCTCCAGCCAGGATGGGAAAAGGAAGGGTGGAAGGATAGCAATACTAAAGATTCAAGCAAGTTCTTTCTCCAAGTCCAGTAATTTGTGGGGGTTTTTTTGTGCTTAAACTCTTCTCGCCTTAGTGTAGGGGCTTTATTTTTATGTAATCCACACATATTGGTATGCAATTGCTACAGATAAAGTGCTAATGGTAACTTTTTTCCCCCTCCTCTCCCTCCCTTTTAGGTACGTGTGGTCAGGCTTACTGGTTGTCCTTGGTATATTTCTTAATGTTTACAGTAAGAATATGGATAAAATCAAACTACCTTCACTGCATGGTCTTTGGAAAAAAAGTGTGGAAGAAAGAAAAACAAGGACGTTGTCACAAACTGTATAGACAGTGGTTTATGCCTTGTCTAAACTATGACTTATTATTTTATTGGAACAGTCTTCAACTGATTCACTTTCCAAAGGGAACATTATTAAAACCAAAGGAGCTGAAGGCATATTGTCTGCTTGCAGATTGCTATAAATGCACATTTTTCTGAGCCCTTTCTTCAGAGCACTTGAATTCATTGTAAAAGGTGTTGTAGGCCATTGTCAGACGGCGTTATCAGGCAATGAAGGACAGCAGCTCCTGGCAAACTGCTGCGAAGCTGCATTCCAGGTGGGACACAGTAGAAGACTAATGTGGGCATTTTAATAATATTGGCCATGTGGCTGATCTGACATTAGTGGTTCTTTGTTAATTGTCTAGATGAGGTAATTTAAATGTAATACAATATTAACATTTAATGGCACCTAATCAGCAACTGGTTGACCAAATTGCAATTTTAAAGGTAGAAGGTTTAAAATACTGAATGTTGTCACTCTCTTTCAGTTTAAATAAAAATGTTGGGGTTTTTTTAAGTTATTGATTAGATCATCCAAGAACTTGGTAATTATTGTAATAATTGAAATTTTTATGGAAATCTTATGGTGTTAGTCTTTTTGATTATTGCTAGCAAGTAACAAAAATGAGATTGAGTTTGTGCCATCAACACCCATGTTTTTACAAGGGGGAAATGGGCTTTTAGGGCTGAGCAGGGTGAGAACACAGAATGAAGAAGTTGTGATTGAAACAGTGGTGTAAAAAGCTGTTACTTATTTATTCTGTGGTGAAATACAAAACTTCTAGTGGCCTGTGTCCCTCCATATCATAGTGGTTTAGAGAGACATGGAAGTCCTCTAAATTAGTATCATCAAATCAAAGCTCTTACTTTTCAATATTGGAGTAAAAAATAACAGCATCTGCTAATGTATTTGGAATATGTATTGTGTCAGTCTTTGTGTGGTCCTGTGATGAATTTAAGAGGACTAGGGTACAGATTACACTTTATTTAATGACAAGAGGAGACAATATACTACCAGTCTGTCTTTCAATATGAATTTAGGAAGACTAAGTCCATTTCTCTCTCTTACTTTCATATTCAACTCTCTTTTAAATCACTTGCCATCTCCTTCATTTTATATATTTAACAGTAGCACTTTACAAATACTAATCATCTTACAACTCATTGTTCTTGTGTGGTCATGGTTTTTTTGTTGTTGTTGTGTCCCTTAGTTGCATGTTGGTGTGTGTTATTTCAACTTAGACAAAAATAAATTGAATAATAGAATTATATAGTCAGGAAGAATGTACAAAGAATTGAAATCTCTCACAGGATTACCTTCTGCCAAAATACTTGTTTATGAAAGTATTCAAAATGTCTGAAAAACATTTCATATATTTAGAAAGAATTGCCATGCCAAGGAGCTTGTAATCAAAGCACAGACACAAAATGTGCCTTAAGTTTTGCTTATTGAGTCGGTAGCTAGCATATGTCATATTGAGTATGTTCTAAAATAGGCCATGGAATAACATAGCCATCTTAACATGGTGGGACAAATGTGTGGAGTGGTGAGCTGCGCTGATGTAACTGCGCTGTTGCCAGCACTAGAGCTGCTCTGGTGTGTCAGCAAAGCCTTTCAGCTGGTATACAGCCAGTGTTGCCAACTTCAGAGAGTTTATTTTGTGTAACAATTTCAGCTTTTAAATGTCCAGCTGCTGCATGATTGATTGTGTCCTGGATAAGGTAGAGAGGTTTTAATTTAATGAACAGAAACAGCTTGAAAGAGAAGGATGGCCTGCCGTGGCTATCCATTTTCATGTTGCAGCCAAAGTTTTATGATAAGATATGAAAAAGAGTTACAATTTCAGATTTGATGCAAGAATGCATTTGACCACATGAAGGGGATTGATACAGATTTCTTTCCTCATAATATTTATCGTTCTTGTATTCCCTTGCATTCTTTTCAGTAAATTAAGTTGCTCTTCCCAGTGAGGTTAAGTTACCCATCAAGCTTAAAAGAGGAACAGTTTTTGAACCACTGAAAAGCACATAGTTACGGAACATATAATGCTCTGTTCACTAGCTTGGTGGAACTTGGTAATTAGCATTTGAGCATCATTTTGGTAATTTTTCAGTCTCAGTTTTGCCATCTGTAAACTGTCGCTAAACTTTACTGAACTTCAGGAAACCAAATTACGTGAAAGCTACCATACATGCAGAAAGTCATAGTAAATATAACTCCTTCGGCGTCTGTTTTATATAAATAGATGAGAAATCACTCCCAGATTTTTCTGACTAGAGTTCAAATGTAATATGTAGATTGCCAAACTGTTTATATAATCCAGTTTTGTCTTTGTTTTTTTCCCTCTGGAGAGTGTAGTGTTCACAGTAATTTGCCTTTTAATTTATTGTATACAAGACTGAATTAATGGAGTACACATTAGGGGAAGTTGTGATTTATTTTTTTATTAATTTTCATTTTCTTAACTATTGAAATATATTTTGCTTGACAGGTATTCTTTAAAATATTATTTTTATATATGAATAGTGTAGGTTTAGTGTTAGTAGCATAAATTTAAGAGTCAAATTTTTATTTTCGTAGGTGTGAGGCTAATCAACAATATGTAAGTGTGTTAAAGAAAATGCACACACAAATGAGAGTAGTTCATAATTTGCCACCTGTCATGGTCTGCACAGCTTCATGCTATCATTGAGATGTTAAAGAAAACCTTCATTTCAGTGAATTGCTGTTTGTGGGGGTTTTTTTGTTTGTTTGTTTGTGGGGTTTTTTTATAATAAGCTTTATAATGCATGCAAGTAAGAGAACCTTACGAACCTCCAAGTGTTCTTATTACAAAACTTTGGTTTAGGATCTCCTGTACTGTATATGTATGTTGGGTTTGTGTTGTCTATGAAATATTAATAAGGGCTTGTCCATAAAGTAACTGTAAATTCTTTATTTTTTGTGTAAGAGCACTTACATTGGGCTGTTGGTTAACCCTTCCTAATGTTGCTGTGTAGGCTAATCATAATAACTTTTGCATTTTATACTCCCCTGGACTCTTTACAGTAGGCATTATGAAACTACAGAAAGAAAACATTCATTCTGTCACCATAAAATTTATTATCTAAATATAATGTGACTTAGTTGCTTCTTATTCTTATGCTACACGATTTTCTCCTCTTTACAGAAAAACTGTGATAGAAGAACTAGTTATAATGGGATTTGAAGTCCACACTGAAATTTAAGGCTGCCCAAGGTCTCCATTGATGTCAGCAGCCTACCTCTGTGACACCCTCTACTTCTGCCTCCTTTGGAGGACTGAGGGAGTTCTGTTTTCCTGCATTAGTATGTACTTGCAGTTGCTTTCACATTACATGTTTGAATTTACTTGGCACACTTGAATACCGAAGTAATTGACTGTGCAGTGGATTTCTTCCCTATTTCAGTACGTCAGTATCATCAAACTGCTAATTACTCGGATACCTATATGTGAATACAAGTGTGGAAGAACTAATGCTCTGAAACTCTCCCCTAAATCTACAGTGTTTCCTGATACTGCATTAAACTATTTCACTTAGTCTTGTTTTACCACTCATGTGCTTTGAACTTACCAAGCATTTTAAGCTAAAATTTAGGCATACATCATTCCTCCTTGTCTTCCTTACTTGTGTGTCTTACTTTTGGATGCTAACTCCCTCTTTAACATGCTCTGTTGGTGTACTGTGGGTTGCTTCAGGTTTCTACTCCTGCATTTAAAGGCTCACATCATACTATTACAGATTGGTCACATTCCATATTTTCTACTTCATATCAGTTATGACTCTCTGGATAATTGTTTTAAATCCTTTTTTCTCCATGAAAAAATCTTTCCTTCTATACTTCTCGTTATTTTTTGAAAGGTCTTGATGAGTACATGTATGAGTTAACTCCTTGACCTCATTCCATCTTCCAAGAAAATCTCTCTTCTCCCTTGCTTGCCTTTGAGAACTAAAGGAAGAGGAAATAAATTATTGCAAGTGCTCTTTTTTCTTTAATAAGTGCCTTCCTTACTAACCTGGTTTGTCTTAATTGTTTCTTTTCTTTCTGCCTCCCATGCTCCCAGGCACAAACAAGCCCTTCTCTCATGTTTGACCACTGCTTGTTCAGTCATGGAAACTTTTTGAGTTGTTTACTGTTCTGAAAAGAGGTGTAGAATTGCATGTATACTCTGGAGGGCAGGAAATAATAAGTAAACTTCACAAGTTAGGGAAGTAATTAAATGGTTTCATACTTCTTTTTCTGGAGGGATTTTATATATGGTTTAGGTAATAGCTCAGAATTTGTTAGTGGAAGGGGTTTTTCTTCTTTTACATTTTACCTGTTTAAAAGTCTTTATATTAATTTTAATATTTAATATAAAACTCCTGACTATTCAGGCAGTTTATAGAGATTAATTTTAGTCTTGCCTATGAGGCAGAAAATTTATGTTTCACTGATGAAGCAGAGATGGTAACTTGCCCAAAATTGCCTTGGTAGTAAGTCTGTGATGAGCAAGGAATAGATGTTAATACCCTCAGTTATTCTATGCCCCAAGTCCAACAGAACTCTTCTGTACCTGAAATGAAACAGTACCAGTGTAAGCTCACGTTTCTTTTACCCCCCTATCAGAGATTTTAAATTGTTTCTGTTCCATGTTCTATACTAGTATAATTTAAAGTGAAATTCAGACAGCCATAAATAGGCTTCCTGCATGTTGTGTGAAGCTCCTTTGCATTGTGTGTGTTGTTACTGTCTTGTTGAAGTTGTTCTGGTTTCTGTGAACACTGCTATGGAAAGGAGCCAGAGAGAGTAGCAGTTGTAGGAGAAGCATAACATCCTTCACTCTGAGGTGACTGGTCCTAGTTTAGTTCACCTTGCTACTGGTCAAAAGCTGCTGCCAGTGGAAGACTGTGAGAAATTGTCATAATGTGAGGAATTGAGCACAATGTCATGACAGATCTGTTTTTTTGCCATTCACTTGTAGAGAAGCAAAGACAGTAGCACAATAAACATTCATGCAGAAATACTCATCATAGAGTATAATGCTGACTTAACTCTTCTTTTCTATACCTGGATCAGTTTCTGCTGTCTTGCTGGTTTTTTTTTGAGGTGTGATAGTAAAGTATTGCTTCTCTACACTTTGGGGTATTTAAATATTTTTTTCTTTGCTAGATTTCTCAGTTTTATGCTTCCTGTTCTCTTGTTTTTGGTTTTGTTTTGCTTTGTTTTACTTTAAGTGTAAAGTTTTACCTTGTAATTTTCATTGTGCTTGTAGCACTGTGTCCAGTTCTGGGCTCCCCAGCACAAGAGGGATAAGGGGCTCCAGGAGAGAATCCAGCAAAGGGACACAAAGATGGTGAAGGGACAGGAGTATCTCTCCTGTGAAGAAAGGCTGAGAGAGCTGGGACTGTTCAGTCTGGAGAGAGGGCCCAGAGGAGATCTCGTCAATGTATGTAAATAAAGGGAGGGTGTAAGGAAGATGGAGCCAGGCTCTTTCCAGTGGTGCCCAGTGATGGGACCAGAGGCAGTGGGCACAAACTGAAACACGGGAGCTTCCCTCTGAACATCAGGAAACACTTACTGTGAGGGTGACCATGCACTGGCACAGGTTGCCCAGGGAGGTGGCAGAGTCTCCATCCTTGGAAATATTAAAAAGCTGTCCACACACAGTCCTGGGCAACTGGCTGTAGGTGGCCCTGCTTGAGCAGGGGAGGATGGACCATATGACCTACAGACATCAGTCATTCTGTGATCATGAATCTTGGGATCTTTGTCTGTCCAGATTCTAATACTTCTGCTTTTTCTCCTATTTCAGAAGTGTTAATAAACGTACTTAAAGCAGGCGTATCTGTTTGGGTTGGCTACATTAACTCCGCTGAAGCTGAAGAAGCCATGCTGACACACCCAGTAGTGTGATTCCAGCTGAATAGCGAGTAGCTTCAGAGCACAATTCTTTGAGAAGAGACCCGCATTTGGTAACTGCTGCTCGATGCAAAATGGGAGTATGTCAGTCTCTTAGAGCAAATGCAAGAAGCTGGTAGATGAAATTGTTGCTGTTGACTCAGAACTATTTGAATGTATTAATGAAGGAGTTCAGAGTTGCTTTTGGTTTTCTGCCTTTAGCTTTACAATGCTATTGGGTGTTTTAGTACAGCATCTGATCAGCAGGTGTCTGTTAGAAGTGTTGCTGCACTGCTTGCTCCCTGTTAGTTGTCAGCGTTTTGCATGAACATGGTCAGCATGTGGTAGACGCCTTCCTGCTTGTTCAAAACCCAGGTATAAATTCCACTTAAATACAGTTCCGTAGTATCAGGCATTTATGTGAGCTTACCTATGCAAAAATGTCTATCATATAGCAGTCTTAGTTGCATATGAAACTGAAGCAAAATTCCTGTGTCAGGTTGAACACTTGAACCCCAACAGCACTGGAACACACATGCACGCACACACGCGCACGTGTAACAAATGCTGCAGTTAACCACTGCGCAATCTGTCGCATGGTCATCTGCTGTTTAGCTCTAACTGCAGCAGTACAGGGAAGATCGGTCAAATAACTGTCCCCTGGGCTCCTGTTAGTGTGGTACATCTGAATACAGAGTATTTTCTGTTTGGCTTCTGCTGCAGACTGTCTCCTGGGATGGGCTTGGTGACATGTTCGGGGGGAACGTTCAGTCAGACGTGGGAGAGGGCTGCGAGACAGCAGGCTTTGGATGTGCGCAAAGTCTGGTCGGTGCTATGCTGCCAGCACATCTGCCTTGCTCTCTGTTAAGACAGCAAGTCTATCTGCCTCAGTTTACTAAACTTTCTAGGTAGCACTGGCAGTAAAGTGGATTTACCAAGCTAAGTCTTACACATGGTTTAGGAGGAGCATTTGTGTTTACTTCCTCTGAAGTCTATGTCTGGAGGAGATGTAGGCATCCCAGAAGTCTGGCATTCATAAAAAATTCTTTTTTTTTTTTTAGGTTGAGGTAGAATAGGGTATTCTCTGTCCTCCCTAGGAAGGACAAACACAGTGCTATTATATGAGAAAGGTTATAGATTTAGTTATAGCCCATGAAGCAATTGGTGAGTGGTTCTATAGGCCACTAAAATCATCTTTGGGAATTCAGACACATTTACATGATCCATTTACTGGTACCATTTGTAGAAGAATGAATCTTTCCTGAGAGGCTGAAGCTCCTGTTATTTGATTTTTGCCTCATTCTAGGTTCCTAGAACTCCTTTATGTCTCCAGCATTACGGTAACTATTGGCACTCAGTGCTAACATAGATATAATCAAACCTCTGAAGAGTCGAGTCTTTTTCATGCTGTTATCTGCAACTGGGGAACAGGAATGACACCGCAGTGGCATCTTGTTGGTGATGCACTGTAAAAGCTCCACAGCCCAGTCTCAAGTACAACATGATATTATTGGCTGCATACTACAGAAGTGCTTCCTCACTGCATGCTTCTCCATGACTTCAAAAACTGCAAGCCCTCGTAGTAATTCCATTACATGAGAACTATTGTGGTGTTCTGCAGGACTATGCATTATAGATAAAAAGCTCTCGGCACAAAAAATTAAGGGCACTACAGGCTCTGCTTAGGAAGTGGATTATGTTGTAGGCTACCTATAGAAAATAGAAGCACACAAATTTTCAGATAGGGAAGTTATTTGAACCCATCTCAGCCTTAATTTGAGTAACCAGGTCCAGCTACATAGTTGTCCCTCATGAGCAAAACAGTGATAGCAATAGTAATTGGAAATGTCCCATGTCAACTTTCAGAATGACTTACGGTTTAAAAGTACCCCTTCAGAAGAGAGTTGAGGGGGAACTTGAACTTGGTGGGCGTTTCGGTTTGTTATAGAAGTTGTAGCCACAGGATATGAACAATTGTGGACAATGGAGTACTGTGTCCAGCTTTGGAGTGCTCAGCACAGGAAAGACATGGCCCTGTTGGAGCGGGGCCAGAGGAGGCCGTGAAGATGATGAGGGGGCTGGAGCAGCTCCCCTGTGAGTCCAGGCTGAGGGAGTTGGGGGGGTTCAGCCTGGAGAAGAGAAGGCTCTGGGGAGACCTTATAGCAGCCTCCCAGGGCTTAAAGGGGGGGACAGGAAAGGTGGAGGCAAACTTTAGTAGGACCTGTTGCAATAAGGGGAAATGGTTTTAAACTAAAAGAGGGTGAAATTAAACTAGATAGAAGGAAAAAAATTTTTTACAATGAGGGCGGTGAGACACTGGAACAGGGTGCCCAGAGAGGTGGTAGATGCCCCATCCCTGGAAACGTTGAAGGTCAGGCTCGATGGGACTTTGAGCAACCTGATCTAGTGGAAGGTGTCCCTGCCCGTGGCAGGGGGTTGGACTAGATGGCCCTTAAAGGTCCCTTCCAACCCAAACCATTCTATGATTTTAGGTCCACAAGGAGGATTTGAGGCCCCTGAAAAGCTTTAATGCATAAAGCAGAATTCATATAGGCTTCAGGCAGCGACTAAGCAAAATTTAAGCTCTTTAATATGCCTTTAATCTTTTGTTACTCTGGCCTAAAGTTAGGATTATTTATTTTGTGTACTATCCAGATTTTGGTACTAGAAAATAATTTCAGTGAGAATTATGCTAAAAATTGCCCTTAATAAGCAGTTCAAGTTAACAGCTGGTAGTATTCTATCCCTAGTTTACACCATCCTGTGCAGTGCATCTGAATGTGAGTGCTTGGCCTCTTCAAATGAAGACTATTCTTACTGCTAGGCAGTATCACCATCCTTGATTTTAACAAAGGAAAACAAATTCTACATAGGTAAGAACTGATTTAAAAGTAGCTAATCCTTGCTATGAATTATACCTGATTTCCCTGGACTCCTTATCCTTAATAAATGACTCATGCCTGGCTGTAAAAGCTTGGTTTGCAAACTCCCATCTTCCCTGCGATTAAAGTAGCCTGAGATGAAGCAATCGTGCTTGCCAGGGATGAGACCAGTTATTGCCGACAGCTCTTGGATCCCCAGGCACAGAGGTAAAGGCAACTTGAATTGACCATCTTAGTCTTGGTAAATTTTGCATTGCAAGACAGCTGCAATATAATCTATTCTTTCTTAGATAAGAGCTCTTTTTTTTTTTTTTTTTCAAGGAAGGTGAAGCATAGGCTGTGTACAAATGATACATGTTTGGCTTCTAAATAGAAATTCACTAGTTGGGAGAGGTAGCTTTTTTCCTACAGAGAGCTAAATTTACAAGGAGAATGGGTGTTGCTCTGTATCAGAAAGGTGTAACATGTTATTTTTTACTGGATTATTTTTCTGCACTGTGGGAAGATGAGGAAAGAAATTAAAATCAAGATGCATTGGACAGCAATAACATTAATTCTTGGCTATCCTATTTTTCTATTATGTAATGTTGGCTGCAACAGATACAAAGTAGGTTTCAGTAATCAAACTAAGAATCGGGACGGGGATTTTTCAAAGCAATCGAAGACAATTGAAATCCTCTTGACCCTTAACTGCTTTACTGTTCTGAAAATGCCAAATTCAAGCACCACGGAAGAGCACTAGACTGTCCCTCTCTATGCACAGCTTCCCTTGCTGTCTGTGGATATCCACTATGGAGATAGATTCATCTTAAATATATACCCTGATTGATGGGCAAAGACATTCTTTTTAGATATGCTGAGACTTCATGGTCAGAAACAGGATGACTCATCAGTCATCTTCTTTGCAGGTCCTTCAAAGTTGAGGATAGCTGTGCCAAACTGAAAATGAGTGAACCACATTTGGTAGATATGCAGGTGGCTGCAGGGAGCTGTATATGATTTAGCGTGCAAATTCTTCAGTCTGCTAGATTTCTTCTGCCAGAGCTATGACTGTTGGATCAGCTTAACTGCTCTCTTTCTGGTAATGCCTGACAGCGGTAAAATGTGTGGGTTTGAAAGTGTGAACACTTGTGTTTTGCACAGTTTGGGGTGGGGGGGAGGGTGTCAGGTTGATTTTTTTTTTTTTTCTTTGTGTTTTTCCAAAATAATATTTTGTGGCACAGGGGATTCTTTGTAAGTAATTTTTGATATTGACCATTT